GGGGGGGGGGGGGGCAACGGCGCTCGCTGCCTTTGAAAAAGTCGGAACTCCGCGGTCGCATCGTTGTATTTTAAATTTTTTTTTTATTCTGCGCGCGGATAACAATGGTGTTTGTCCGGGCGGTCTGTGTCTAACCGAATTACAAATGCGCGCACCCGCCGGGCGTTATAGCGTGTAGACTTGGTGTTGATCGTGGAAACCAACGGTAATGCCGATAGTAACCAATCGACTAGCGATCCCGTCGCTCTAATCAATCACTACGCGTTGTTAGTTGTAAACTGTTTTACATTAGTAACATTTTGAATGTTTTTTTATTTTTTTTTTGTTGATAATTTTTAGTCCACAATGTTTTGTAAAAAATACAAATGTGTACCACACCTATAAATTAATTTCGGTATAAAAAAAAAAAAAAAACTACGCTTCCGAAGGAATTTGTTTATTTTTTTTTTTTTTCTGGCTATGGAAATCTATCGATTCCGTTAAAAAGTACGCCCCCTGAATTTCGATGAATTACGTCCGATAACATTCGGTAGTTGGTGTTATTATGTCCAAAATAAATAACGAACTAGCTGCGGTTAATGAATTTCGTATTTTTATAAAAAAAAAAAACCATAACTGACAACGTCAAACATCAATTTTTGTACGGAATATTGTTATTTTACACGAGGGCATCATTTCAGGGATTCAGATTATGTGCTTAAAATGTTTAATAGTTTTGGTAAAAAGTAAACTAAAACCACTGCCAACGGCCAGGTTCCGACAGAGGCTACCGGAATCCGGCCGTTTGAGATACGAGAACGAACTCTGACTCACCGTGTCGTTTTGTTTCGTGTGAAATACTCGTTGGTGATTGGCTCATATTACCTCGGACGTTACCGCGGATACCGCAGTGTTTAATAATTCAACTTTTGGAGGTGCTGGTTATAGGCGATAACGTTGTTTTCGTGTTTTCATTTTAATAATAAATTAAATTAGCATATTAAAATGTTCGTAAAATCGTAAAACGTAAATTGTTTTGGTGGGTACAGATACGCGCTTTATGCAAAAAAAAGTTTATCGTATTAAACACAACTGTAGGTACTTGTGATACGAAATCACAAACCAGTACTGGTTAGTACGATAACCGAGTAATTTTAATACAGATCGTGCCATCGGTTTTAAAATCAATACCCACCAGTATTCCACCACTTTCCCAAAAATAGCGATACATCAGTAAAATTAAATAAAATTTAACGTTTTTTTTATTATTATTATTATTATTATTGTTATCAGTTGATCGCGTAATACGAGTAAACCGGGCATATTAATAATGTGGATACCCTGCTGTTCGGGTGGTAATTTCAATGCCGTCGTTTTTTTTCGACAGAAAACAGTGCGAATAAAAAAAAAAAAAAAAACACCCCGACGAAAGCGTATTGGACGGTGAAATAACAACGACGGATAATCATAAATAATACAATATAATAACGACGTGTGTATTTTAAGAAAAACGCGCGATAATAGTTGCCGCGCGTTTTCGGCGAACGGTTAGGTTCGGTCGCCGGTGGAACGGCGGTTGCGACGTCGTTTCGTGCGATCGAAACGGGACACGCGGCCAGCGGTTGACGACTCCGCGCGGGCGGTCGTTACCGCGGCTTCGCGGTGAGAAAGGACCGGCGGTACCGCGGTACCGGCGAAATTCGCGATTGTGTTCGCGAATCGATAGTGGAGACGTCGTACGCCGTCAATTGGTCAGTATCGCGTAATTGTCGAGCGATTGACGTTCGGTTGTGAAACGGGAATGCGGGGCGGGGCGACCGAACGAACGTAACGTCGCGGAATAAACCAGACAACATCATGCCAACGGGTACCGGCGGCCGACGAAATCGGCCCACATTAGAACGCTCACATCCCCGGTGAAAAACTGAAACGACGTCTCCTCTGGTTTTGTGGTGAGTAAAATAATTATTTTGTGTAACGGAAACGCGCGAAATCGTTGTGTCGCTCCGTGTGGCGCGTGTCCGCGCTCCCCCCCCCCATCCCTCGGGAAATTCTTCGTTTTGTTGGTGATTTGTGGCAATCGTATTTGGTGGTATCGGAAGAGAGAAAAAAAAAATAAAATCCAGAATAAAATAAACAGTAGACGTGCGCCGAGCGACACGCATTTGGTGCTCCCTCCGGGCCCCTCGGAATTTTTCGCCGGGGCTGCAGTACTGTCTAATGACGCGGGTTGCCTACCTGGTATTCGGCGGCGTGGCCATGGTTTTTTCTACAGGTAGGGGACGGGTGTTTTCATTCCGTGTTTGGACGCAACTCGTTTGTGACTCCATTGCGCGCGCATAACGCGCGCGCGGCACAATGTACTCGGCGGCGGATTTACCGGAGGCTCTGGAACCGCGTGTGGGACGAATTAGAATTTTCGGCATGAATATGGTCAAACGGGATGGGGGAGGGGGGGGGGAGTCGAGAGGTGTTCGGACGCCCAAAACTCTTGTACCTCCCCCCCCCCTCGCCGCGCCGCAGCTTTTGGTAAATATAACGGTATACTCACGTTTTATTTCGATTACGGACCGTGTCGATGGCTAGAGGATCGTCGTCGTCATCATCAATCATGCACCCGATCGATAATAACAATAATAATTATCGCGATATCGCGCGGGAAGAAAAAAAAAAAAAAAAAACAAAGAAAAGAAAAGACCGGCGCGACGATAACGAAATACGGCCGCGAACGGTATTTCGAACATTTTCAACTAAACCGAAACAACGTAATCCGTGGACAAAAACGCACCTCGATGAAACGAACGGTTTCTTACCGGGCCCCCACGTTTCCGTTATTATTTTCGACCGCTGCGCGCGCGACACACACTCGAACACGTTAACGGTCAGACCGCATTGAATTTCCTTTTTTGCGCATAGAATTCGGGGACCCGTTCGCGGCGATTTCGTATTCTTTTCCCGCGGATCCGTCTCATTACCGACGTCTCGGACGGACGGACCCCGGCGGTTCGATCGCCTTTTTCGCACTGCGCGTTCCGCGCCGTCAACGGCCCGGTTATAGCGTTTTGCGCGGGCCGGGAGAACGTTCGAAAACGTGTACGCAGCCGTGCCCGAGCAGTGTCCGAATCCATCGAACGACGCCCCCGACCGGAATGAGACGGGCGGTTGTGTTTATTTTTTTTTTTTTTTTTGAAATTTAAATTAAACTGAGCGAACCCAATGTTGTTGCGCAACGATATCCAACAAGTTCGGACAGTCGATAAGACGTTTAGCAAACGAAAAATTATGAATATTTAACGACAGCAAATGGTCCACCCGTCGTTTCCGGTTGAAATAAATAGCCGGGACGCTTCAAAGTCTAAACGACAAAGAATGACGACAATAATAACATTTGTAGCCCTGCAATTCGAATACCGAATAAAATTAAAATGTTTCAATCGAATTTATTGTTGACAGTGGTCCGCGTAATTTTCAATACGAATAACAGACATACCTATCTCCCGGTTACTACTGCACGGGTGTGACACCGTGACCGAGGGGATGTCGGGAAGGTGGGATATGCGGGGCGATTCAATTTATATCAGCATGCAGCAATGGACCGCTGTTAATGAAAAACCATTCTGAGTGTGATTCGGATAAAAAGGCTGGAAAAATTAAATTAAAAGCAATTGTAATAATACGTATGCTACGAAACAAATTTACAATTGTGTGTGTGTGTGTTTTTTATATTTGTTTGTCTGGTAATTGTTTAATGCATTACATTATAACGTTATAATGGATTTTACCGAAATGCAAAAATAAAAATTAATTAATTAATATTCAACAAATCATTGCGAAATAATATTTATTTTACTTTTCGCAATTGTATTCAATTCAGATTCGACCATTATTCATTGTATTATTATTTTATTTGAATTTATTTTGCACAAAACAAAATACAATTGATGTTTAAATATTGCGCACTAGCTATAGCAGTCTGTTTGTAATAACAATAATATACATTTATTTGATTTTTCCAGTTTCAAACATTTATACACTCAAAGCCGTAATTTGACAATTTAAATTGACCAACTAGGTAGATGTATTCTGTTTGTTGTCTGTACAAATTTAATTACACGTAAATTCAATGTTGTTATTTTGAAATGCTCGTTTTAATATTTTATGGAATTTTGTGTTGAAATTAAAATAATTTTTGTTCAATCAGTTTTGCAGTCGTGTCCCAATAATTGTGAGTACCTACTTTTTAAAAAATACATTCTGAATAGTAGAAATAATTTATTAGCACCAACTATATTAATACAATATATGTCTTCTGTATAATTATAAAAATAAATACACTACAGTACCTATACAATAATAATATTTTAGTTTAACACATTGAAAAAAAAAAAAAAAAAACTAAAAAGTTAGGAACTGGACACAACATTCTTATTAACGGCAAGTAAAAATCAAAATTTTTATTTTAGATTACGCGACACCATATTGTTATGGCAATGTGTTTTTTCTGAAGTTAGTTGTTTTGTAAAAAAATATAATAATAATTTAAACAATGTTGTATGTAAAATGTAAAATAAAACTCGAATAATAATAATATGTTAAATACAAATTTTTAAAATTAAAAATATTACAGTTAATGATACACTAAAAAGTAAAATTGTGATTATATAATATAAAATATATGGGTATAAAAAAAAAAAATCAACATTGGAAGAAAACATTATGTACCTAATATACAATAGTAATTTGGTAAATATATCTGGTTGAGAAAATATAATAAAAACACAGTTTGTCTACCAACTACAACAGTAATAATAATAAAATATTTACCATCAAAATGTATTATGTATGAAATATTTTATCATAAAAATATATAAATATCATTTTTTTTCTTGAAAAAATAAATATATTATGACCAATAATATTATAATTACAGTAGATAGGCACAACAACTTTGAAAACAGTGAAAACTAAAAAAAAAATGCATATAAATTATGATTGTGGCTGACTATGAAATGGCACTAAATAAATTACGTACATTCCTTACACCAACACACAAGTTACAGTGGCAATTTTTTTTTTATACGTATTGTTAAAACATTTTATAAGTCTTATTAAAATTGTTCAGTACTTTTGTAATTTGTAGCATTTGTAGTTTTTTATACAAAAAATATAATAATAATGTCAGTGTCATAATATCAGTTATAACAAAATTATATTATAATATTACATTGAATTAATCATTATATTATTAAATATATTACATTTCATAATATTTCAAATTATACAGAACATAATTTGGCATTATTAACAATAAATTTCATATTATAATAATCTTAATGTGTTAATGGCTTGGTACTTAAAAAAAAAAATTGTATTTATAAATCAATAAACTAGTTACAAATGTTTCATGTGCCCACCAATTACAATAATAATAATAATAATAATAATAATAACAATAATAAAAAAAAAAATAATGCACATATACATATTTGTAACGCAACAAACATTGAAAAAATCTGTTTGTACGTAGATATCAAATTAACATTCGTGATTAGTGTGATATTACCTATATATGTTAGCAAAATATGAACGTTGGATTGAAACAAATGAAAATGTATATATAAATATGATTTAAAGTTACTTTAAATTCTTAAGTATTTTTTTTTAAATATAATATGAGCGTTTAAAAAAATATTATGTATGTTTTTAATAGAATTGTTCAGATCCAAACCGTCCAACAATGAACTAAGATAATAATATTATCCTGCATTATCATACAAAGGTTTATAGACAATACAATAATATTGATTATCTATAAACCTTGAATTCATGTCACAATTAAAGATAATAGATAATATTATCTTAAATTATGGTTCTGTGTCCAATTATCTTCATTGATAGAGGCTGATAATAAGTATGATGAAGGCACTAATCACTAGTATTGTCCAACAATTTATAAATATATATAATAAATGTATATAAAAACAAAGAACAAAATATTATTGTTTTGGCGCTGAATATTCATAAACTAAAAAAAACGAGATATATTTTTAAAATATATTTATTAAAATAATTCAATCTTTGATTTAAATTAATAGGCTCCATATCAATTCAGGCTATAACAATAGTAAAAAATAAAGCCTCTACCTATGTATTTACTTTATATACAATTTTCTAGAGGCATAAAAATATATTCAACACAAAAGACATAATAAAATACATAGTTTTTTTGTTTATAAATTCGTTGTACATTTCTAATTCGTTGATTGTAAGCGTCTAATATACGTATAGGTAACTCTCAAATTATAAAATTTTAAGCTCGATTATTACATCAATAATTTGATTGGAACACTCTTATATTATCAATAAAATGATTAATAACAAATGCCACTCTAAGCACCACTCTGATTAATACAAATGTAAGGCACTCGTCGACCCATTGGAATGGTTTAGTGGCCAAAATAGGACAACAATATTTTTAAAAATTACCTTATTTGCATTTATCCGCAAGCATAAAGATTTATCTTTCAAACAGATTAATTAATATTATTGTCAATGCGCTTGAAACTAAATACATAATTAATATACCTGACGGTGCTCACAGTGATTTAAATTAATTACTTTGTTACGACTTATAAATACTTAAACAATATTGAACACCTGTTTATGGCCATGGTATTATTGCAGCACACAGAAGATTAATAGTGATACCACGGTTGACGTCTGACCCAACACAATCGTATACCAGTATCGGTTCTTATTTTTATAGATGCTGATTCAGCCGCTCTTACAGTCTCTTTAACGGACTGCATCAAGTTTTGCGCATTACCCACCAACATATCTGTAGCTTCTTGATCTTCTTCTGAACCATGTGCTCCCAACATTGTTGCTTTGACTGTAGACAAAATTTTTAATTGAGTACCAATCGTTGGTATGCGTTCACAGACTTGAAGCAAATTCTGAAATAAAATTAATTATGATGTAATTAAATTAGTACAATTTTTTTTTTTTTTTGTCAAAAATTGTAAACTTACTGTTCTCATCCTCTTATCAGTGCACTCTCTGGCCAATTCTTTAGCCAAACGTGTCACTTCCTCGGATGCTTCAGCAATCTCTTTGGCACAGGCAATAAGATCACGTTTAGTGCCTGTCTGTCCGCGAACCAATTGGGACAGACGACCCATTGAAAGTGCCATTTTCTTGGCAGCAGCAATGATTTTGTTGTCTTTACTGGACCATTGTTGCATTTCTTGGTGAAGTCCATGGGCTGCGGCCATAATAGGTTGATTTGGTAATGGAGCGTGCTTAAACATTTCATCTTCATCATCAGTTTCAGATGGTAATGGTGGTCTGGGTGGAGGTGCTTGTTCCCCTGGTAATGGTGGGCGAGGTGGAGCTATTTCGGGCTCGAATGACAGTTCATACAAATCTGGTACAACAGTAATAACTCCGCGAACAACACGGTTCGCATCTAACAATACATTATAAGATTCTCGCCAACGTGTAACGGCGTGATTATCATTGGTGTTCAATGCCACAGGTTTAGCGTCTTGAACCATTCTAGCTACAGCTCCTTGCAGATTATCCGCCGCTCTATTTAAAGATGCGTGGAACACAGGATCTTCAGAATTGTCAGCCTCTTGCTTAGCCACTTGATAAACTCTATTTGCTAAACGAGCGATAGCCGTGGTATGTTCAACCATTTTGTTTGGGTCGTGCCTCGCAATTGAGTCTTCACACAATTTTCCATGTTTACGCATTTGATCCTCTGTAAAAAAATGTTTAAATTATTGATAAATATCAAAAAATTAAAAATATTATATACTACAGGATCTATACTAACCAGAAAGTCGAATAAATGTCGCGGAGTCAGTTGCTTCATCACAAAGATTTCTTATGCGTGTCGATGTATCAGCATACTGAGAACACAAGTTATCAAAATGCTCCCCAGCAACTTTATTATCAGAATACTGTGATCTAATTTGTCCACCATTGATCAATTGTGGTCCGAGGGATTCGAGTTGAGTTGCAGCTTGATTGAGCGCTTCAGATAATTTTTTTCCACCGCTACCAGTAGCAGCTACAAGTCGTCCTGTTCGACCAGCACGTTTCGACCAATCAGATAATCTGTTTGCTCTATCAGCGAAATTCGCCTCTCGCCCAGGAGTACCTTTTTAATCAAAAATCAATATTTTATGCATTAATAGGACGTGATACCCCCTCTCCCTGTTGTTTGACTAAAAAAACTTTTGAAAGCAAAAAATATCCGGACTGTATATCTAATTAAGAAACCAGATTTTCACTTAAAAAAGGAATACAGACACCGTGCAATAGTGCTTTTACGTTTTCAAAGAAAAAGTTATCATTGTTCTAAAATTTGATAATTTTTTACTTTTTATATTCAATATCAAAGAACTAAAACCAACAGTACAAGTTCTAATTTTTATGGTGAAAATTTAATTTCTTAATTTGTCTATAGCTTAAGTAGTTTTTTACCTCGTAAAGTCGTTGTCTGTAAATATTTGTGTGAATTTTATTAAAAATAAATTTAAATATTTTGAGGTTTATAATCAAGTTAGGGCACTAAGGTACAGTGCAGCTAAGAGTATATTGGAACATAAACGGAGGGGGAGATCGCCATTATCATCCCCTCCCCTGGTAAATACAATATTTAATTAATTTAAATTTGTTCGTTTACCTTTCGGAACATGTACAACATCCGTAAACTGTTTCAATGGAGTATTTATATCAACAAAATCTTCTACAACGCGACTAACTACAGCATCTTGAATCATTCTTTTTAACTCATCTAATTTGTGAGACAATTTTCTGCAATTTGGATTAATATTGATATAAAAACTTTCAAATTATTATTAAAAATATTTATAGCTATTACCTAGCTATTTGTTGTGCTTGGGGAGAGTTTCCTTCACCTCGTCTGCACAAATCATTCAATTGTCGAGACAAGATGTCTACTTCATCACACAGATTTAATATTTCTGCTCTTTGAACACCAGGAAGTCCATCAGCCACCTAGCATATTTTATATATTAAATCATATAAACAAGTATTCAATTTTGTTTTTACAAGTATACCCTATGAGCTTCATCAATAATCAATGAAATGGCCCGTTGTCCCAAACCATTATCGCTTCTTTCGGGATGTAACAACCACTGTCTAGCTTGGTCCAGCTGACCGCCAAGTGTGTGAGCTACTTGCTGTCCCTTGGCGGCTACACCACTTTTTTCCGTGTCATTAACCGATCTTGTAACCAATTTAACTAACTCTCCAATTCTTTCATCGATACTACGAGATAAACTCTCTGCTTGGGCAGTCGCGCCTTTTCCATCATGTCGTAGTTCACATAGTGCATCAGTCATAGTATTGATTTCAGAACACAATTTTTGTATTGGATCTCTTACTTTGGGCGAACAACGTTCTGATATTAAATGAGATTGTTCGAGTAGATGACGGATAGATTTTTCGCCTAAACCCCCAGGCATTGATAATGGTTCCTAAAAAATTACAAGTTTATATTTTTAACTCATGATACCTACCAGCATTTACTAAATAAATTTAATTTTTTTTAAGTTTGTAAAATGTTGATAATTTGCTCGTTAGTTACTGAGATAATAAATGCGGGTATAGTCTTCTCTTAATTATCATAAAGATGTAAAACATACTTGTAACCAATCATGGGCAGTATTGACTTTGCCCTCAATTACATTGAGTGCTTTTCTCATTACTGTAATATTATCAGCTTCCCATTCATCTTCATCATAAGTGGTCAACTGTAAAACTCGTATTATCTCTAATAACTCTCCCGTCATTCGGCTAGTAAGATAATCTCTATTCTCTGCAGCTTCTGGAGCACCTTTACCTCCTGAAATTATTTTAACAGTTAACATAAATACAATAAATAATTACAAATAATTTTCCTATTTTAACTAAATATATGGTATTTTTACCTTCTGAAAGAATATGAATATAAATTTTCATGCTGCAAATAAGTATTGGCGCTAATGTCTTCACCTGGTCGAGACACCGAACAAGTATATCTCTATGTACCTGATGAGTGAGTTCTTTTTCACGTGCTCCAACTTCTCTAGAAACCTTACATTTGAAAAATGTATTAAAAATTAATTATTTAATAAAGTTAAACATTGTTTTCACTAATACTAAAACAACGTACTTTACTTAAACAAGGACTTAAGTCTTTGAGAAACTGCACCAAGTCTTCCATGCTTTCGATAACTTCAGCAACAGCTAAATAGTCCAAAACTTTTTTACATTCTCTAATGATTTTTCTGACTTCGGATTCATCAAAACACAATAATAATGATGATGTGCCTTGTAAAATTCCTCTGGATCCTTCAATCAGTTTTCTTCGGGCTGGTCCACTGTATGGGTCTTGTTTCAGCATAGCTGAAGCTTCTTCGAGAAAACGTGATGCATCTTCAACTCGATAAAGAGCTGATGGAAGATCTTGTTTGAGTATGGGATCATCACTACTGTTTATAGTTTCTTTTCCCACTTTAACCAGATTCATGACTGCTCGACTGACAGCCTGAACCGGCTTTTCCAAGTCCGGCATTGCACTTCCATCTTCAGCATCTTCGTGTAAAATTACCAATCTGGATACCTGAAATTAACAATTGAATTTAATTTATTAACTAAACAAATTACAATTATTTAGAAAAAGTATTAAAAAGTACTTTACTTTAAATATAAAAATAGAAACTATGCGTCTATGAAATACCTACTATTGTACTTTTCAAGTAATAAACTATTAATATACTATAAAACGACTTCCATCTATTCATACTAACTATTCATATAAATATTGAGTGTTCAAGAATTGTATGGAATCCATATGTATCATGTTCTGATCATGACTTCTACTCTAAAAATAGGCAGTTTTTATCCCAACTATAAGACCACATTGGTTATAAAAATAGAGTAGTTAAAGGGTAAACTAAATTATCTCTGCATACTTTTTTCTTTCTTTGGTCCCTATATTGAAGAAAATAGTAATGTATACATACAAGAAATTTAATTTTTAAACACTATATCTAACACACATCACTTCTAAATAATGGCGAAAAACTTATAAAACTATGTTTTATGTTTAAATTATATACCTACTTATTCTAAACCCAGAGGTATAATTAAATGTGTACTGAATTATATAGAAATTATATAGATATGAGAAATAACCAGCAAAGTAATTCACTGTACCACTGTAGTAAATTTGTTGAGATTATTTTTCTTTGTTATTTTGATGATATAATAAATTGTCATAAACTAGATTTTGAAAATAACTTTATGTTAAATTGAATACACTTGAAAATGTAACTAGATATTGAAATAACCAAGTAAGTACTTGTTGAAAATTTGCAAAACAAATTGTGCAGTAACCTGTAATAAACAGTAATTTGTTTAACTGTGAAAATATTCTGAAAACATTTTCAAATATTTACTTAACCGTGAGTCAACCAAATGAACCAATAACGATTGATATATCAGTTGTATATTTAACAATTATAGGTAGGTATTATAATGATTATGACATGAAAAAAAAAAAAAAAAATTGAATAAAATAGATAGGTAGCTATAAATATTATTGAATCAGAACTATAGATTACAGAGTGAATTATTGTAAAAATCCATATTAAATACTTATTTATAAGTATTTAATCTCTAACTTGTACCTACGTATTGAATGTCGTTTACCTACAATTAAAATGTTTTAAAACACAACCAAAATTTGTTAGAAAGGAAAATGCTGCTACTACTTAATATTCTGTACTCGGTACCCAGGTATCTGATTTAGACGATCGGGCAGACGCGTACCTATAGCCTGTAGGTAATTATAAACGTATAAAATAAAGTACTCAATATAGCATTGACATACTGTAACTATCTGTCGGGAGTACCTAGTATACGTTAGAAAAGTGCGATTAGGAGGTATATTATTATATGAAACAATTGTGCAGACAATAAAATTGTTTTATACGTAGGTAACGCTGTGCATTATAATGCTGATCATAAAAAAAAAAAAAAAAAAAAAAAAAAAAAAAACTTCGCAAGTACATAAAAATATATTTTATTATTATTTTCAATTTCTTTAAATTTAACTAGGTTTTTATCGTTTGTTTTGTTTTGTTTTTTTTTTTTTATCTATCTAACATTATGTACAAGTGTTATAATTTAAAAACGAATTGTTCGTATTGTCTGGATATCGTACGATGAGACAATTCGTTGAAAAGTAAAAACGATCGGGTACCGAACGAACGTTTTAACATTGCAATGTCCATTGTGTTATAGAACAAATACGGCAGCACTTCATCGACCCCGTAATTATTGTTTACGAAAATAAAATGTTATCAGCTATTAATTGATTCGCACGTTTGAACAACTGTACAGTGTTTTGTTTTGGGACGGCGGCGCGCGATCAGCTGTAATAAATTCCCGAGCATACCCCCCTATACAGATCGCGTGTTGTCAAACGCCATATCGGTATTTACGAAAAACGACCGTACTGTTAAAAACCCCAATGTTTACATTATCATAATATCATTATCACAACACTCTTATCAAAATGTGCGATGAAATATTATTTTTTTTTTTTTTTTTAATAACAAAGCGGTATTAGATAAGGTGGGCAACGGTACAGTGTACTTTAAAATCGTTCGGTTTTTTTTTTTTTCCTGTTTTTCAATAATGCATTCTTATCGAAATTCCACAGCTGCAATAATTATTACGGAAATTCCTGCGGACATTCGTGTTACAATCGCACCAGTACGTAACAACATAATTATTATGTAAGTAAACAACGGGCTTTCGACGAACACGATATTATTTGTCGTCCGAGGGGGGGACCGTCGACACGAACGGAAAAACGGCCCGTTATCAAGTGTGTGTGTGTGTGTGTGTCCGCCCACGACGGGTACCGTGCGGGGCCGCTCTGGACCACGGAAACGAGTGAGGTTTTTATTAATGGAACAAAAAAAAATATATATAAAATTAGACCGTTCGGAAATCGCAGAGTGCAATAACAATAATATTATAAGGGACTCGTAAATCAATCGTTACGTCAAAAAGTCAGGCATCCGGACGTCGAGACCGGACGGGTTCATTGATGACGGAGCGTTGGCACGGGTACACGCCGCGTCCGGAATCCTTGAGATCGGATTAAACGAGGAAAAAATAAAATAATAATAACGGTAACGAAATATTGTTCGTATTAATTTCACACCGCGGTCGAAAACAATCGGGTCAAGTCCGTCGAGAAGGAGAGTGGAAGGGCAGACGAGCGGCGGATTTTAATAGATAAAAAAAAAAAAAAACCAATCTGTATGAGTTGTTGGCATTGGGACGAGGAAAAACGGCCGCGTAGTCCGGGCCCGCGGATAACGAGACGTTCCCGCCGGCCCGTCCCGCCGCGACCCGATACCGTCCCGTACGCCATAATTTTGGCCGGACGTCGCCGTTCGCTTACCTGTTGGGCGACGGGTTCCAGTATGCTCTCGATGGTTTTCGTGTGGAAGACGGGCATTTTGGCGGCGGCGGCGGCTCTGCTGACTGGGCGCCGAGAACGGGGTGAAAACTCGCGAGGAGCGAGAAAAAAAACGGGCGCCTAGAAAAAAAAAAAAAATTCTCGTTCGAAACTCGCGCGCGAGGACGGACGGACGGAGGGGACACAAAAGGTGCGAACGAGTTGGCGGACGCGCGCGCGGAGCGAGACGTTCGGTTTTTGTCAACGGAACGGCGAAATAACCATTTATAGGAAACGACGTCGACTTCTTAAAATAAACACGGTTCTACTGCGGACGACTCGCGGAGCACGACGTGTTGCGAGGTGTGTGCCGACGACGAGTTGTAGTGCCGCACTGCCGCCGCGCCTCCTCGTGCGCTCCCACCACCGCCGGAGATACCGCGGAACAGCGTCGACGCCGCGCCGGATCGCCGTGCCGGCGGCGCCCCGCCGTCCCACCGTTTTCTCCGGCCGTCCCGACGGCGGCGCCCACGGTCGTTGCCGCCGCCAACCGTCGTTCGGTCGTGTGTAGAAATTCTCGCGCCGCGGGGTTTTTCCAATCGGTTTTTCTGGACAGACGGACGGCGGAATCTTTTCCCCCCCCCTCCTCCCCGAAGGTCGTCCTAGGTTTTTCTGGCGTGCCCGCTCGTGGCAGCGGGAGGTGGGATCGAGGTTTCCTGCAACCTTACCGAATCGACGCGGTGTCAACACGTGTAACGACACCGTGGTATCATGATGCGGAAGACGATTATGTGGGCGGGGAAAGGTCGAACCGCACACCGGTCAACAACGTGCAACGGTCGGACCAGGAGTCGAAAAGGTTATGTTCCGAGATTATTCCAGAAGCTCAACAAACGATTTTCAATTGTGCATATAAACGATAACAAACAAAAGAAAAAAACCCTTCTTCAACCGCATCAACGAAGGACGAGGGAAATTCGTATCTATTTTAGATTCCGAGTGGAGCGAGGAATGTATGGGTTTTACGACGAGGTTAATTTTTTTTTTGTTCTGTGGATAACTATTCTACTAGCAATTTTGATCCGACTTGCAATGATATCACTTTTAGGAAAGTCATTTTTTGATTCTCTCAGTAGTTTTCTCAACAAATGGGAAATACGGAAAAATAGTAACAATATAAAACAAATATCATTAAATAAAATATTGTATAATGCATATTGATATGCAATCATTTTACCCTAATATGACATAAATTCGTATATTATTGACAAAGCAGCACTATCAACCAAACTCCGTTTTGAATCGTTTTTTCGTTAACAATGGTTAATCGTTGTGCTCGAATTTACATTAAATTTCTCCTATACTACTTTCCCGATTACCAACCTATAACAGTGGCTGAACCCGTCCCCACTATCCTAGGACAACTTTATACGTTTTTTTTTTTTTTTTTTTTTTTGATTCTGAGTGGAGCGGGGAATGGAATGTATTGATTTTACAATGATGTTTATGTTTTTCATTTTATTTTTTTTTTGTGAACACTTTTTCCACCAGAAAGTATACTCCGATTATAAAGTATAGCATCTTTTTTGAAAGGAAATATTTTCTGCTGCTACTTTAAAGAGGTCATTTTTTTTTTGAAATTCTCATTAATGTTCGAGATAGTGAGGAAACCTCGGTCTTAAAGTTAAAAAAGATTGAAAGATTAAAAATAAGGTTGTCATTGGAAACCGTTTTGTTATTTTTTTTTTTTTGTTATTATTAAGTTTTTTATTATTTTAATATTTTTTAAACAATCATTGTTATCATGGAAACGCACATTTTTGTAAACATTTTACCACAATATATTATATACCATATATTGTATTGTTTACAAAGCAACACTATCAACTGAATTCCGCTTAGAATCGTTTTTTCGTTAGCAATGGTTTATCTTTGCTTACGATATATATTAAATTCCCGTCTCTATCCTATCTTCCCAACGTCCCACCTACAACAGTGGCTGCACTCACTTACGAAGTATGTCCGCCCTTTTTTATGTTCGGTTTTGTTTTCGATCATTTTTGTTTGAAAAATACCCTTTTTCGATATGTTTTCGACCGGAGTATGTAAGAAGTTAGTGTCCTGAGTGTAAGCCTAAAACTTATAGTCGGCGAAAATCCGTGACAATCGATTGATTGATTCAGGTAAATAAAAAAAAAAGAAAACAGATTTATCAATTTGGTCCATGACCGTGGCGGATTCGAACCTAACAATCCGTCGAGAAAGCCCATCAGAACTGCAGCGTGAAGTTGTATGGATAAGGTACGCACTTAAATATTTAAAACGAATAAATTCGTAATACCCGGCTAATCAGAGGATTCCATTCGCATCGTCGCGACAAGTTTCAAGTAGGAAACCGTATCAGTATTACAGGCTTCTTCTATATACAGGCGTACTCGAATCGCCTGCAAGATACCCGGCAGGAGGACTGTATCCAGGTGTTAGGCTATTTTAGTGTTGACTAACAGCATGATTTCAATTTCCCGATATCGGAAATTGCGGTATCAACTTGACTAAGTAGGTATATACAAACAAATTAATGTAATTTCTCAAAGCATTACCATTGACTGTATATTATTATAAAATAATCAATGGTATATGGATTTTTATTTAAGATATTTACTATCAATGAATAATAATATAGTAGTGTTGGCCAACGATTATTTAATTTAAATTTATATTTTTTACCCGCCGGCCGTCGACTATTCTGTTCCGAGTCCGATCGGTTTTAAGTTTTGGGCGATATCGCGATATTTTCTATAATAATTTTACTTGAATATCGAAAATATCCCACGTTATCGAAATCGTTGGCCAACCCCAGTAAAATATTTTAAAAAAACGGAGAATATTTGGTAACTTACATTTCTCCTCCCTCCCTTTTCAAAATATAAATTAGAAGCGCGAAAAAAAAATAGTCAAAAGGTTTAGCGCTTATCTTTGCGTCTACTAGCCTTAGAAATCGTACACAATACAATGAAAATATATTGAGCGATAAACTCGTAACAGTCATAACTCATAAATCACCGAGTTCTAAATCCAGATAAATAATATCGTTATTGCTTATCAATCAATAAGTACAATACTAAAAAACAAAATCAGATAACTTGTGAAAAATATTACGCAGTCGTTCAAATTAAAAATACGTAAGAACGCATACCTATCTACGTGAGATTTTCTTCTCTTTCTTCTTCTCCTTCGGCTTCGTCCTAACTATCATGCACCTCGCATCATACACCGATTATTCTCAATCGCATCCAGCCGTCTCTTTTTCGGTCTTCCTCTCACCCTCTTCCGCCCTTATTCGTTTATATTTTCATAAAACAATTCTTACTGCATCTGATTCCTAAATAATATCTCCTCATGACGCGGACAAACCATCCCAGTGACATGATATTTTACAATAACAAAATATCACGTCATTGAAATAGATTGGGTACGTCACGAGGAGGGCTGATCTCGAGTTGGGTCCCGGCGTATTTTAACGTGTACACGAGTTGGGTCCCGCCATATTTTTTTGGCGCATTTTATTTGATTATTGTTTACTATGTTGAAAACGTCAATAGTCCGCCCTATTAGGGTTATCCGGGCGTTAACACGTATAATGGAGTTGGCTAGAGAAAATCTCTCGAAAATTGTGTTTCTTGTTACTTTGCTCTTATAAATTTATAAAATATTAAAACTATTACTATTATATTATTATTAATATTATATGTTATTTTTGTGTTTCATAAAATTGACATTTTTCCATATTATATTATTATTACCGCGGACTCGACTCGATTATAATAATTTAAACAATACAATATCCAGGGACCAATCTCGAGTGTCCCCCTCGAAACGGGTAACAATCCTTACATTATGTCCTATATGTTTCAATATTCATACGGGTACTCGATACACGTATCCATTGCGAACAAAACCGCATATATAACAACTCGTAAAATCGTATTTTAATTAAAAATAACAAAACGCATGTATTATTATATTTTAAACAGAATATTTGTATTGTGTCATCGCTTTTCGTTGACCATTAAGTAAAAAAAAAAAAAAAAAATTTTATACGGATATTCTTCGCGGCCGCGGAATATTGTCGTTCCCGAGAAAATTCTTTTGATAATATTCTCCTCTCTCAAATCACTACAGGTAATACCGTGTGTACCATAACCGGACGCGTCCGTAACCGAGATTTGCTGTGCGTGTGTGTGTGTGTAGGAAGGTCGGTCTGAAACGGTAGGTTGGTATAACCGTATTAGGTACGGCTCAAAATAATTAGAGAAATACATTTTTTTTTTTTTTTTTAATCGTGACATAATAACGTTCGACTTTTCAATTCTGAGTGCAGCAGTGAATGTATTAGTTTTACGATCAATAGTATCGACGGGGTTTAAAAAAAACCCATCTTTTTTTTTTTTTGTTTTAAACGCGTTTTTTTGTTTTTTGTGTGTGTAAATAATAATAGTTAATGATAAACAGAACTTTATCGTAATGATTTCTGAACAAAATAAAATTTCATTAAAAAAAATGTTACTCCTTTATCCAAATGTTTATTTTCATTTATGATTTTCGAAATGAACAGGATGATAATAAATAATACTTTACTCCTCAGAAAACATATTATTAGACGTTATGGTTATTTTGTTTTCGTTTAATTGATGAACGTTTTAAATACTTCGTGACCTTCAGCCTTTGTTTTCGTTTTCTGCAGTCTGCGACTAAATTTTATACTGACGGAAATCTTGCTCCGATTATTATCAAAAGTGCGCCTGGAAGCGAATTATTTCGTCTACAATCACCCGCGATGCATTATTTGGGATGCAATTCGGTTTTAATTTTCCTTGTGGTTTAATAAATCCTTTTTTTTTTTTGAGGGGGGGGATAGGGAACCCGGACAATGTACGCAATAAAGGTTTCCGTTATTATCGATTTCTTTTTGTTGTTGTTGTTGTTGTAACAGTTATGATAATATTATGTCGTGTTTCGCGTCGCGGGACCACATAGAAAATTAAAAACCGGGCGTCGACGTCGAATATTTCGGAAACGGTAGTAAAATTTTAAACCGTTCGGTTCGCTCGTATAACAAAACGATCGTGCGACGGTTTTTTTTTATTATTATTATTTTGCCCTCTCGTAACGATTGCGTGCGGCTGCGGAGAGGGCGACGCGAGCACACACAGTGGAACTAATATATTTAATTGCTCCTATCCGCACTCTATATACAGTACTATACATAATAATAATAGTAATAATAATAATAATAATATAATGGCCGTGATAATTAATCGGTCCGCTCCCCGTTGCCGCCGTCGGGGCAGAGCCAAATTTACGACACCGGACCACTTGATTCGTACCGCCACGCTGGGACAATGAGCGGTAACGTACGCGCTAATATCATTGTACAGGCGTGTAATACATTCAAACATTTTCGCACGAACGCGATGTTAAAACGATTCGAAATGCACTCAACAACGGTCCATTTTCAGCGTTTTTCTCGCGACTCGCGTGCAGGACGAGGTGCACGCGTATCGTCGTAATGCTGCAGCTATCGCAAAGTAATGCATTGCGGATTGATATACCGGGGGCCCGTGTTCAAATGTTCACAATCCAGATTTTAGATAAAAAAAAAATATATATATATGTGACGAAACAATGATCCTTAAACTAGGGTGATCACGTTTAAAAAAAAAAAAAAAATAATAAAAAAACTGGACAAAATAATTTCAGCAATACATTCAAAATAATATTTATTTATTATTATAGTTTTGTGTTTGTTAATTTTTCAAATAATCATGCCGATATTATGATTTATCAGCTATTTTAAACATACCCGCTATCCGTATGTTTTCGATGTATTATCACCGCGATGTCGATTCTTGTGGTTATCATTTTTCTTGGATACAATCGCAATCACTGTTATAATCTATAACGAATATTTGTGTCAACATACTGATTTTATTAAAAAATTTTCATGTTAAAACTATAAAATATTTATGTAT